AGTGAATGGGCAGTTATGGTTGAAAATTTATCAAGCTAACATTTGGTATGAGTCTTTTATGTAAGATAATGAGTTGTTGAAGGGGTTTAAACATTGTTTTTATCTCAAGTGGGAGTAAAAGACTTGATAGGGTAAGCATCTTTAAATAAAATACTGAGTTTGGAGTGTTAATGATCTCTATGGTCTGGAGAAAATTAGCATTATGTAGTGGGGAGAGGAGGAGGAGGAGGGTGTTTTATTTCATTTTTTTTTTAAAGATAGAGTCAAATGATTGCTCAGGTTATTGATCCTTCTGCCTCAGTTTCTTAAATGCTATAGTTGTGGGCCCTTGTACCCGGGTATTAAGGCATTTTCTATCAGCCATCATTGCTCGTTAGGTATTTCCTCTTATGCTTTTAATTACTTTAAAAAAAAAAGAAATAAATAAAAAACCACTGGCATGTTTGTCAAGTAGAGTTGAGTTACTGAGAGAACTTTAGAAGCTTCATTTATGGAGGCTTGTACCAGAGGACTACTGTAACTCCAGCTCCAGGTGCATCTGCAGTCACATGCACAGGACATACACGTGCACACTTAGATTTTTTGGTTTTGTTTTTTGAGGTGGGTTTTTTTTCTGTGTAGCATTGGAGCCTGTTCTGGAACTCACTCTGTAGAGCAGGCTTGCCTCTTCCTCCCTGAGTGTTAGGGTTAGGGCCACCACCGCCTGCCTGGCTCACAATGTATTTTAAAGGAAAGTGACATTTTCAGGCTGTGTTTCTTAACCTCTGGGTGTTTAAATGTTTTTATAGGGTATTTTAGAACTTTAGCATTGAACATACATGATCTTATGTAAAACTTTATCTTGTTTTTTTCCCTTTAGTGTTAGAATTTATGAAGCCTTTCATAAATGAAAATGAAAGCAAGTTAATGAAAAGAAATTTTAAGTTATGTGTAGATTATGTTTTGCCTCTAAAAATAACTTTCCATGGAAGAATTAAAATACCTTTCTTTATATTAAGGCAACTTTTATTACTGACTGAGATAACCTTGACATTATCACTTTAACTCTCTTTCGGGCTGTATAGTTAGTAGGTGGTAGAACTAGCATATAAAACCAGGCAGTTGGTCCATTATCTCTAGCCTTGCAGTTAACAGCAATAAAATGTTCCACAAAGGAGCCTAAATTTCTGAGTGACCCTGCAGGGCTGAGAAGCTTTAGGGTAGTTAGTCATCTATACTAAGTTGTTTAACTATGCTTGACACTGACTTCCATGTCAGTAACTTTTAAATAGACTGCTGTATTTCCTTTGGGCCACTGAACTGCTTTGTTTGTAAGTAGGGTTAGGAAATTAAACTTTGTCAGTCAAGCATGGTGATGCATATTTGCACTGGAGAGGCTGAGGCAGGAAGATGGCTACAGATTTGAGGTCAGGTAGGATTACATGAGATCTCTAAAAAATGGAGTAGGGGGCACAGATAGATGATCTTTGTAGATTATATTTTGTAATTGTGATTATAGCTAAGGATCATATTTTAAGTTTAGATTATAGCATTAGGAGTCAATTTTGTTGCTACTTGAACAGTTCTCTTGATAATTTTAAATTGGCTGCTTAGAAACTTGGCAGTTCTGTCAACTTACTGAAAAGTGTTTACATCTCTGCAGGAGTCAATAGTAACTTGAGAGTAAACCTTTCATTTCAGGCTTCCTATTGGACAGACAGTAGGTATTGTGATTTAAACAAGACAATGGCTGTATAAGGTAATCCATATTAGTGTTACTCTCAGACCATCTCAGAATGAGATGACCTTCCTGCTGTAGAGACTCTAGGTGCCCTTTGTCCATAAAGATTAGCAGACATTGTCCCACTAGGCTGCTTACTGTGTAGTTAAACTTGTGCCAGAGAATAAAAATGGGATGGACTTTATACTTTCCATTTAGTAAAGATAGAATACAGTGTTTTGTTTGTTGCCATTTCTGGAGTTTCTGGTTATCTGTTCAGCTTTTCTTAAAGCAGGGGGGAAAAAATCTAGAGTGCTTTTGTGCTACCAAAATACTAGTACCTTGGTCAAAACCTTTAGCTCAGAAATAGTTGTATTTCACAGAAGATTTGGAAAACTTGATAACCTGGCCCCTTTACTTACAGCATGAAAGGGAGATATTATAGACCAAGTAATTGCTTATTGGAAAACTGAATTGCTGGGAGAACTGGAAGAAAAATGTGTTTTCAAAGCTAAACAAGTGAGATGCACCTGATATACTAGTTAAGTAGCTTGTTCAGAGAAAATGAATATACTACGGTAACTTAATGGCAGATCCATAGGTCTTAAAACATGACTGCTGTATTGAAGTCCCGGGTGTGGTTTGTTAGACTATATCATTCTTTGAAGCCAGTTGTGGCAGCTCCACTAGAGGTGGAGGCCGAGAATTGCCACCAATGTGAGGCTAGCTTGATTGAGCTGTAGTATAAGACCTGGTCACAAATAGACTTAAAACATTTTGTTTAAAATAGTTGGAGGTTAAAAACAAATAATTAGAGGATTAGGGAGGCCAAGCAATACTTGAAGAAAAATGTAATGTATAAAAGTTACAAGTTGACCAGAATAATTAATATTCTGGATAAAGGGGATTTGTCTTCAGTAGTCTTCAAAATGAACATGTTTAGCTCTATTAAGTGTGGGGAGGCTTTCTGTTTGTTTTTTAAGAGCACTTCCATCGGGTCAGTTGAGTTGGTGTGCATATCTAATATTTCAGAAACTTCTATCTAAAAAGTAGTTATATGGCTTGAAAATAGTAGATGCTTTATGTTATGTATTTTTTTTTTTAAGATGATTGTGCACTGGTATATATATTCCGTGTGAGGGTGTCAGATCCATTGGAACTGGAGTTACAGTTGTGAGTTGCCGTGTGGGTGCTGGGATTAAACCCAGGTCCTCTGGAAGAACAGCAAGTGCTATTAACTGCTAAGCTATCTCTCCAGCTGTCTGTGTTACTTTTTATTAGGAAGTATATGTAACAATTTTAAATTGAGGATATTTCTCCTATACATTGCTTTCATGAAATAAAAAGTTCTGTCCTGATATTTGGTTAATGGACTAGACAGAATTTTCTTATTCAGATTTACCCTATAAACTACACTGTCTTTTATTATAACTTTAGTTTGGTTAGACTGAAATAATTCTAAATTATTCAGTTACTCATGGGGGAATTCTGTAATCACAGAAATGGTTACTAGGTAGTTAAATCTAGCTGAATTTGTTTTTGTTCTAGAATGTAATAATGGACATCAAAGCCAATAGCCATTGCTTTGTAGTCGGTATCCTTATCTTTAAAACTGGCATCTGTCTTCACCTTGAAAGGTGAATGTTGGTAATGCATTTTCATTTATGAAAGTAATATTCTGGACTTGTAGGTAAAACATAGAGTGTATATAGCAGTGGTTATTTAAGTAAGGGTTATATATTAGGAGTTGGCATTATTCAATTGAAAGAAATGTGTATTAAGAAGTTTTAAATTTTCCATGGAATTGGCAGTAAATAGACATTTAAAATGTACATAATGAGTTTTGGTTATATTCATTTGATTATAACATTACTAAATGGGTCTTACTTTAGGACTAGACACTTGGAGGGAGTCTTGAAAATTTGGGCCTGCTCTAATATGTTCTAGGTTAAACACCTAACTTTAAATGGAAAGAGTTCAGTGTTGCCTAAAGTAAGAGTTAATTTGTACTAAAAGTTAGCTTTGTTAGCATTAATTTCAACAAAGTTGTGGTAAGAGTAATCAGTAAAACTTTGGTTAAATGGATGCCTTAGAGGTGAAGATAAGAAAGAAGTTAATGAGCATCTTGGGTGTTTTTTTTTTATTTTTTTTTTTTGTTTTTTCCTTTTTTTGAGACCGGGTTTCCCTGTGGCTTTGGAGGCTGTCCTGGAACTAGCTCTTGTAGACCAGACTGGTCTCAAACTCACAGAGATCCACCTGCCTCTGCCTCCCGAGTGCTGGGATTAAAGGCGTGTGCCACCAACGCCAGGCGATAAATGAGCATCTTATGCCAGGATGGGTTGTAGTGATAGTCTGTTAAAAGCCTACAAAGTGGAGCTGAGATGTAATGTCTTTGCAGAGTGAAAGCTGGTACTTTATCTCCCCTATCTTATCTTTTCGTTACCCCTCACCCCAGTTATGAAGACAAGAAAATCTTGAGCAAGTGTGGTTTTATCTCTGAAATGAAAATTATAGCTTTATAGGACTAATATAATTTTAACAATTTACTATTGCTTCCAGTTTGACTCTTACAGGGTAAAAGGTACAGGTTTGCTTTTATAATTACTGCCACTAACTTATTGGTAAAATAAGCAGATGTAGAAAGGATCTCATCTGCTGCCAGAACTGCTTTTTGGCATTTTGTTGTATGTTGAGACTTAATATTTTGTTCTATATGGTCTTTTCTGGGGTGTTTTCCATTTACCATTTTACAGGTCTAAGCATTTCATAACTTGTTAGCTGAGGGCTTGCTTTAATCATCTAGGTTAGTGAGATGAGACTCAGTGGGTGATTCTTCATGCTGTTTACATGATTACTTTGGTCCTTTTTAAGGTCTCTTGAAAGTGAAAAAGGTTCAGTTTGTAGGACTTAGCATTTTTCCATTTTTATGTGCTAAGAGTTTAACAGACAGAACTATTACAAGTAGGAAAGGAGACTCAGCATAGGCAGCTTAGCTCTTGATATGGTTAGTGAAGATATGTTAGAGTCCAGGAGCTAAGATTTTACCTTTCAGAAACTGCAGTACTTTTATGTGGCATGGGTACATACATGTATGTAAATACCAGCAGTGTGCTTCTTGCTCAATGTAGTGCTAAGTGGTACTTTTAAACAGTAGGGTTTTTGATATGTGTCTGTGTAGCAAGAGTAACATTTTACTGTACTAAATAAATGCAGTTTGAGAAAGGTGTGTTACTGATGTGAGTAAAATGTAAGGCAAGTTTTAATTTTCTTAGCATTTTAATACTGCTTTTTGTCTTCACAGGAAAATGTTTATAGGAGGCCTTAGCTGGGACACTACAAAGAAAGATCTGAAGGACTACTTTTCCAAATTTGGTGAAGTTGTAGACTGCACTCTGAAGTTAGATCCTATCACAGGGCGATCAAGGGGTTTTGGCTTTGTGCTATTTAAAGAGTCGGAGAGTGTAGATAAGGTAGTGTGTTACATATTCTGATTAATGAAATGTGGAGAGTTTGATAGAGTAAACTTGTATGTTACTTGTGGGTTCCTTTTTGTAAGAAGAGACATAGTTCTTCCATCCTTTTGTTGTTTGAAACAAGGTTCCCTGTGTTTTAGGCTGGCCTCAGGCTGAATATAAAGCTAAGGATTACCATGACTCTCTTGCCTCTGCCTTCCAAGTGCTGGACCAGTAGAGGTGCATTAACACACCCTGGCTTTGAAGGGAGAGGCAGGTTTAGGGGTTATTTACTCAATACTTCCATGTGCCAGTCTTCCTAAGTTAAAGGTAACTTAAAAAGGACTGAGGCTTAGTAAGTAAGTACATGGTCAGTGTCCAGTCCCAATAGGCTTTTCCAAGAGGGGAGGGGGGTTTTTAAAAGGCTAATTAAAAAGTGTAACAAGTTGGCAGAAAGTGCCTGTTTTATGTTTTGTTACGACAAGCCTTTTGTCTCTCTTACCCCTGAGTGGATGAATAGTGAGTGTAGTTTCCTCAGACAGGCAAATGTACATGACAATCAACTCTTAATTAAGTCATTATTTTGGTTCTGGATTGAGGGGAAGTAGCAATCATTGTCTGTGTTGTTACCAGTTAAAGATGATGGTTGCCTAGTAATCAATTCAACTGGTGTGGTACTTCGCCTCCATCACTTCTTTGTGACTTTTATACTTGGGCACTAAGCTACATTAGCCGATGTCATATTACCTTCTGGCTTGACAGTCTTAAGCCTGTTGACATAATGTTGGCATTAGGTACATTGTGTAATTATTTTTAAGTAATTTATTTCTGAACATTAGTTAAGTTTTACATAATAAAGTGAAAAACTTAATTTCTTTAGGTCATGGATCAGAAAGAACATAAATTGAATGGGAAAGTCATTGATCCTAAAAGGGCCAAAGCCATGAAAACAAAAGAGCCTGTCAAAAAAATTTTTGTTGGTGGCCTTTCTCCAGATACACCAGAAGAGAAAATAAGAGAGTACTTTGGTGGTTTTGGTGAGGTATGTGTGTTTTGATCCAGTTTATGTCAAAATTAGTGTGTGATTGCACATTAAGTGGACTTGACCACTTCGTTTTTTTCAGAGCTGCTTTTTTTTTTTTTTTTTTGAATAAGGATATTGCTATGAGCAGATCTGAAGATTAGGTATGGTTTTTCTTATTGGTTGAGCATGTGCATATGTAAAGTCATACTTCTCTTTCCTTGAAGAAGGATATTGTTAGGTAACTCAGGCTGTCCTTGAACTTTTTCTTTCTTATTCGTGAACTCCTGAAATTAAGTCACCTTCCTGCTTCTGTCCCACATAAACTATAGGAATGACCCATTGTGTCTGGGTTGTATAGCATGCTTAACTCAAAAAAAATTAGAAGGAGGAAAAGTACAGGCAGTATGAGGAAGAAGTCAAGAATGAGTTACCTGAAATACAGAAGGAAACATTTAAAAATAGCAAAGTAATAACAGTAGTATAGTAGCTTACCAATTTAAATGTGTAAGTGCCAATTTAATGAGACTCTAGACTTACTGAAATCGTGAGCTACCAGTTTCTTTCATGAATTAATAATTAAAGCTAAGCTGAGATGGTTTGTGGCCTTGGTCTCTAAGGACAGCAAGCTGACATCTCTTACTTGATTCAAATAAGTACATGCTTTTGTGCTGGGTCTTAAAATTGGAATGCCTAATACTCAAATATTACACACAAAATCTGGGTATATAAATTTTATTACATGATTGTAGGAGCAAGCAAAAGTGGAACCGCTACTTCGTACATGTATACCATCATGTTCTCCAGCTTGCAGTACTGTTGCTAGATCACATCTTTATTCTCATGCAGATTCTGTCTTGTTCTTTTGCAATGACCATTGTCCCCTTCTGTTCTTGGGGGAAAATTGGGGAGACAGCTATTGGTGACAATAGAGCACAAACTGGAACACTAAGTCTTTCTTTTTTGCTGTCAGGTTGAATCCATAGAGCTCCCCATGGACAATAAGACCAATAAGAGGCGTGGGTTCTGTTTTATTACCTTCAAGGAAGAGGAGCCAGTGAAGAAGATAATGGAAAAGAAATACCACAATGTTGGTCTTAGTAAAGTAAGTTAAAGCATCCATTGAGTGGCTTAAGAAACTTGTGCTATTGTCATGCTTGGCTTTAGGGCCAAAGTTGCTTGTTTATGCTTACGGTTTTAGTGATTTTCTATTGTAGACAAGGGTGGCCTAGAGATCTGCTTACCTCTGTCTCCCTCATGCTGGGATTAAAGGTGTGTGCCATCACCAGCATTAATGTGTACTTTTATGCAAGCTTTTTACCAAAAAACCTCTTAGGACCTAAAACAAGTACTAGGTCTTCAGCAAGCATGTCTTTGATCTAATCAGATGTGAGAATTCCCTCTGAGTTAAGCAACTTAATTTAAACAGTATTGGCTGTTCTGAGGGTTACAGACTTGTGAGCAGCTTTGTTTTCTTGAGTTAATACAATAATTTGACTTTTGTTTTCTCTTTTAGTGTGAAATAAAAGTAGCCATGTCAAAGGAACAGTATCAGCAACAGCAGCAGTGGGGCTCTAGAGGAGGGTTTGCAGGAAGAGCCCGTGGAAGAGGTGGTGGTAAGCTATAGCCTAAGTTTACTCTGTCTCAAGCTTTTCTGCTTTTACTTATCCTGAAGTAAAGATCTTTGCTGATCTGACTTTAGTGAACCTATTAATGTGCTGCAGGCCCCAGTCAAAACTGGAACCAGGGATATAGTAACTATTGGAATCAAGGCTATGGCAACTATGGATATAACAGCCAAGGTTACGGTGGTTATGGAGGATATGACTACACTGGTTACAACAACTACTATGGATATGGTGATTATAGCAGTAAGTACTATACTTTTTATATTAACTGCTATTTGACATTGACTTTGTGCAAATTTGGATAGGTAGAAAAGTTAGTGTAGCTTTGCCAAGGGCAAACTTCAGGTTACAAATTCCTGGAAAGTAAACTGCAGCCGTCTTATTGCTAGGTTCCTCCCAGCCTCTGTCACATGTACATTGTAAGGGTAGGGTGCATGTGAGCTTTTTTTTTTTGTT